TGATATCTGTGCACCCTGCCTAAAAATTTTCCTTTAGCATAAACACTGTCTTCCCCAATCTTGTTCTTGCTACTACCATGATTTTGGTTTTATTTGTATTCAGTGCCATTCCATACCTTTTGCAGTATTGATCAACCAAGATATGTAATCCTTCTCCACTGTTAGCAAGGAATATTGTGTCATCTACGTATCTAAGATTATTCAGAAGTGCTCGTTAATAAATATGCTTTCATTTATGTCTTCTAATGCCTCTTTAACAATTCTTCTGAATACATATTAAAAAGTAAAGGGGAAAGCACACATCCTTGTCTTACTCCACGATTTATAGGTATTTCTTTCGAGTTTTATTGGTCTATTTGTATTATGGCTTTGTGTTATCGGTATAGATTGGCAATGATTCTCACGTCTTCGTCATCTAATTCTGTGTTATGCAGTATTTTTACCATTCCTCGGTGTTGTACTTTGTCGAAAGCTTTTTCGAAGTCGACTAAAAATATGCATACGTCGCAATTGACATCTTGACATTGTTCGATTAGTGTTTGCACAGTAAATAATGGTTCTCTGGTGCCAAAGCCTTTTTTGAATTCCAATTTTTTTCAGCTACTCTATCATCTAGCTTTTTATAGATAAGTTCGTGTACCTATTCAGGTTTTATTCGGGTTCGGATTTTGTCAGATCTCTGCTATGAATAAAAGAAATTTCTTATGTGAGTCCATTTCAAATAGGTAAAGAAATAATAAATAAGACTTACTCACAAATAATACAATGGTATATAACATCACTTTCATTTAACAAACAATGACACACCTATCTCTACTTCATTGGATCAAATTTATCTCCTCAAGAACTTCCCGTTTACTGTCAAACAACTACAATAGCAGACAAGTTTTCCATTTAACAATACATGATAGTTTCAACCATGTTCTACCATCCATCAATTAATAGAGTACCGGCATGTAAGTAATGTTTATTTATTTGCTCATTTATTAATTTATTACAATCTAATAGACTATTTTATAACAATTTGTGGGTCTTACCTTGTCTGTTTAAACTTTTTATACCTTTTTATTCAACTTACTCATTTTGAAATAAAACCACAGACATGTAATATTGGCATAATTATTGTAATTTACAACATCTAATTTGTTTATCTTTATTAGACAACACCCTAATATAGGTTTTTATCATTTTCAGCATTTATTTAATCTTTGTATCGAGACCTGAAGATGCTTTGCATATTATATAAAGCGAAACCGGTCGTCTGAATAGTTAAATTCAATTGATTGTGAGTAAGTCTTATTTATTATTTCTTTACCTATTTGATATTCCTTGTCTTTATCCTAAATCTTTGACGGTTCTTTTGGATCTCCGCCGAACTTTTCAATTTGTGCTGTAATTCCTCTTTGGACAGACTACGTACCTTTCATGTCACCTGCTACTGAGTCTGTGTCTACCGTTTCTGGATGGAGCGGCATATCTATTTTGCTCAGGCACCGATTTGTGGCACTTATCCGTTATTTAACGCAAGGATATGGTGACGACATAATGATTGATCGACTATGATTAACCCATGGACGTATGGATTAACCCTTCATCTCAATTTCGAGCTTTGTGAGCTTGTGATATTAAATTAAGTGATATTAAATTATTTGTCTACTTCCATCGGCTTCCATTGCACCTCTCATCACCTTTAGAATATGTGTTATATTATTGTGAGGTTATTATTTTATTAAATATTATTCCTAGCTTAACATTTTCGTTAAATTGGGTCTTTATATTTTAGCAAACTTGATGGCAATATCCGATGGAATGACAGTAGGATGGACGTCCCCAATGATACCTTATTTCCTCAGTGAGAAAAGCCACATTAGAATGACAATACACGAAGCTGAGTGGCTAGAAACATGGTTACTAATGGGTTCTGTAATAGGTTTACCTTTCACAGCTTATTTGGTTAACAAGATTGGGAGAAAAAGATCTTTATTGCTAGCTTCAGCCTTACTTGCTATATCTTGGATGATAGTGATTTTTGCCAAAGATGTCACCGTTATTTACGCATCGAGAGTTATAGCGGGAATAGGAGGAGATATGGCCTTTGTAGCGGCACCTTGTTATATAGCTGAAATTGCTGACCAGAAAATTCGAGGATTTTTATCAAGTATAATATATTTGATGATGTTAACTGGTATATTGATTATTTATACTACTGGACCTTTCTTACCTTACTACGTTCCTCCAATTATTGGAACTTGCCTATTGGTAGTAGAATTGGTTGTATTTTCCATGCTTCCAGAAACGCCGTACTATTTATTGTTTAGTGGCCAAGAAGAGGCAGCAATTAAGTCGATAAAGTTTTATAGATCAAGTGATTCAGTAGAAAAGGAATTGGTTGATATTAAAACAGCTATCGAAAGACAAAAAACTGAAAAGGGTGGAGTTAAGGATATATTAACAGTGAAAAGCTACCGAAAATCGTTGTTAATTATGACAGTTTTAAATGCAGCCCAGCAATTTAGCAGCATCAATATTATCTTAATGAACATGCATCAAATTTTAGAATCAGCAGGTTCAATTTATTTAGAACCATCATTAACTGCCATTATTTTTGCTGCAATTATGTTTTTAGCTTCCGGTTTAGCTTCTGGAACAGTTGATAAGTTTGGACGTAAGAAGCTACTTTACTTTTCAAGTGTTTTAACAGGAATCTGTCTTCTTACATTGGCTATATATTTCCACATAAAAAACGCTGGATATGAGTACAAACATGTTAGTTGGCTGCCCTTAGTGGCTGTCATGGTGTATGCTCTGGTATTTAAGTACGGTTTGGGAATGGTTCCGATAGTGATTACTGCAGAAATATTTGCCACGAAGATAAAAACATTAGGGATGGCTTTGGTTGATGGTGTTTATGATTTTTCTGCTATAATTGCTATTATGTTGTACAATTATTTGAAGGATAGCTACGGTATACATATACCTTTCTATTTGTTTTCTGCTTGTTCATTCCTAACGTCGTTTTATGTTATATTCTTTATCCCAGAGACGAAGGGAAAAACTTTAGATCAGATTCAATTAATGCTTGAAGGAAAACATAAATAATATATTGTTTTAGATCTTAGAAGACTATCATATGTTCATATCTATCTTCAATCTTTGCTAAATTTTTGTACGCAAAAGAGTATCTATCACCCTCGTAGTGTTTTAATTTCGTTAACAAATTCAATTGGTTGATGGTTCAATACACGTCGATATTGAGTTTTTAAAGCTTTGTACAGAGCACTGGTTATTGCGGAAGCTCACATCAGAATCGTTCATATGTTTCCTGATATTTATAAACAACACAGGTCCTGTGAATACAAATAAGACAAAATATTTCTTATTAGTTCACTTGGGCATGACATTTAGGTCAAAGCGTGACTCATTTTCTATTTAAACCATCTCTTATGAAATAGTCATGTATTAATTTAGGAGGAGAGCTCCTTATACAAATTTTCAGACACAGAATAAGGAAAATGTTTTGAATCTGTGATTATTAGATGGAATAAATAAAATCCTATAAAATCAAAAAAGTTTTATTATTTATTGATCGTTACATTTTGTTCTTCTTGTTCTTCAAGAATCAAAATGCCTGTTCTTCTCCTCTTGAATCTTCTTTCAAGTGAAGAAATTTCAAAGATAGAAACACCGTTTGCATAAAGCACACACGAAACGAAAAAAGCTCTAAGATAGATCAACTGCCTATCGACATCGTTGAGGTACCAGGTCATGAGTACATGGGTATGCTGGTAAAACCGTTTAATGAAAATGAAATAAAAATAAAAAAATTACCTCTTACTCTGGCACACTTATTTTACATACACTGATTTTTAACACTTAAAACATACATACATGTAAGCAGATACATACGTATGGGCGTAGGAAATTTCGACACTAAGCAGGTAGCGACTAAAATTTAATGGCAATTTTCGACACCAGCCCCAATTCCCGTTTTAATCTTACAGGTATATTCGACACCAAATAAATATAGCTGCGACATAAATAAAATACCATAATTAATTAATTAATTTATTTTAATAAAAGTAATGTGCATTTTATTTCTTTATAACTGTAATAATATCTAAATATAATATAACTAATAGTACCTAATTTTTGTACATTTTACCGTTAATATACTTGTTTACAATGATTTATTTGCTATTATAGGAATGATAAGATACAGCTTTTATAAAATCTAACCTACGTATTTGTTGGGATCGTAGTTTATCCATCATTTTCTCCAAAAATGCAAATTTAGCCTTAACAGTAGTATCTTTGATTTTTGCTGGTATATGTAAACTATTTATTTTGACATAAGTGTCTACTTGAAATTCTTTTAACTTTTCAATAAAAATAGAAGTAGAAGGATGTGTGAAGGAATAAAAAGAAGAATTAAATCTCGAATGAAAGGATTCACGGGCATTTGTGGTCCTCGCAATAGACGGATTCTGATTAGACCATATGTGTGGTGGAAATAGAGCGCTATCGAAAATGTAATTTTCCAGTAAATAATCTGCATATATATCAAGTGTTGCGTTTATAGATTTATATGACATTAAATCACAAAGAAAGCATTCTTCAACTTCTGCTGGATTTAAATAAGTTAAACCAAACGTATGCCTTAACCATTTTTCAATTTCTGAATTTGTATCCTTATATTCTTGTACCAAACCAAAGATTGAATTTCTTAAACCAGTTTTGGTGTAAGTGAAAACGGCATCCACTAATTTTTGCATTGGGCTACATATACAATAAAGCACAGTGAATTGCTTTTTTAAAGTCCACAAATATTTCAGTTGGCTCTAATGATAATTGAAATGTTTTAAAAATCTTAGACCTTAATAAAGAAAATAAATTTTTGTATGTCATTGACAATTTGTCCTTTAACAAACAGTATGCTAAAGGAACATAATGTCCATTTTCCAAGCCATGTATAGTAAATAATTGTAGAAAATATTTGGTACTGTATGAAAATGTACCATCCATATACAAAGTTTTTAATTTACACAACAAACGAATATTTGTCTTGCATGAAAATACAATTACATTTAATTCAGGATGATTTAAAAACAAAAAACTTTCATTGCGACAGGTTTCAGGAGAATAATTACTAACCGCGTTATGGACTTCTGATATGCTTCTTGGTAACGGACCTGGTAAAAGTTTACGACGACAGTTGTAAATGTTCTTTCTTATGCTAGCTATGTCAGGAACCGTCAGCAAATTGGCATCACACTCAGCAACAGCAGTTCTTGTAATTTTGGCAGGCTTTTCCGATATGTCCTCTTGGGCTTTTCTTTTACATGCATTGGTTACCATCTTTACTTCAAGCTTTTTGGGATCGGCTTCATGATTATGTACCAAATCACTTCTTGTGATGGTGAGGTCCTCACAGCCTATTGTATGCGGAACACTTAGTGTTTCTTTGGATGCAGCGCCAAAATATCTCGCCGCTTTTTAACACTTTCTGTTTCGAGAACGAATGATGCTCCACCACTAATAAATCTCGACCACGGGAACTTTTCATCAAACTCATTTTTTAAATATCCGTATACGTGCACAAGTCAACGTCAAACAAGAAATAAATTACAACTGAAATAATTTAGTCACAAGTCCACAAGTGCCACGCTCCCCGCCGTGACAATAAATATTGGGAAAACCCGCTTGTCCTGCTTGGGTGCAAATGTCCATCGCCGCTAATTACCTACCTACTTGCTTAACGCCGTGGTGTCGAAATTTCCGATAATAAAATTTGACCCTTTGATTACCCCAGGTACAAAGACAATTTGGTGTCGAAAGTTCGCCCGCCGTATATACCTACTGGATTGGATGAGCTTACTTGGCATTGAATATGAGTGTAGTGAGGTCACACAATGTTGCACAATATTTTAATATTCTATAATATTCTAATAATCTTTTGTAATATTCACACATAAAATTATCTTGGTATTGTTTTATAATAATCATAACATTATATATTCTAATAATGATAACGTGATTTAACAAAGAAGAATATGTTATTTTGAAAGATGCTAAATTTTTCTTCCGAAACAGTTCTTATTGCAAATTGCATAGCAAACTGAGGTTAGTTTCTTACTTAACAAATCGAGTTAAAACAAACATTTAAGGTTGCTGTCTAAAAAATATCAACAATTTTACAGAAACATGTTAAAAAGCTTTAAACTAATATATTCATATGAATTCTGGGTCTTTGTTAATCTACAAAATGAAAGTAATTACAATGGAGTTTTTTCTAGTTACATTGTAACATTTTTTTTTATTATTAAAATATTAATTATTTTTAATTTCTTTTACCCCCTTGCGATACGCCGATGATTAGGAATTCCCGTGTTTACGATAAGAAAATAATATTGGATCTACTAAATTATAATGGACTTCCCTAATTACTAAAGGTAGTTAATCCTTTCCGTCTTAATACTCAGTATGAAAAGATCTAATGCTTTTGAGTATGCAGGTTCTTTTACATAAATTGATAATTTTCGCCGAAAGCCCGTATCTTTTGACAATAACTTAATCCCAAGTATTGTCTGCTTCTCATGTCCAATTGTTGGTACCGGTAACTCAAAACTTTCGGAATTTTTACTTCCTCAGAATTACCTACAACTGTCCGATGATTTTAAGTGGGGGAGATACCTTCTTCTTCTTTTTTCTTGGATAGTTGGTGACATTTTTAGTGACACTTCTCGTTGGGCTCCCGTTGAGCACAGGTCGATTATCTCGTGAGACTTCTCGGTGGGCTCTCGTTGAGCACAGGTCGATTATCTCGTGTGACTTCTCGGTGGCCTCTAGTTGTGTGTGGTCGCTTGCCTGAAATTATTATCTCTGTGAATTATTTTCTAAGTGTGTATACACTCTATATTTCAGTTTTCTTGTCTTAGACTATATGAAGTTATAATTATACAGTTCTACACTACCTTTAATGGTACCTAATTAAATTCAGTGTTGAATACCAGTACAGTATATTAAATTCAGTAAATTAAGCTGCCGTCATCAGGAATTATGTAAGTTACCATAATCTTAATCTGCAAATAATCTGGGCGAGTAATATGGTATACCACCTGCCATTATCTGGACGTATCACCCATCATTCATTCATATCTTCATCTGTAGATTGCCGATTTTTATATTTAATTTAAAGAACAATTCAAGAACTTTCCATAAATAATAACTATGAACATATTAGTTTAGCATTAATTAATAGTGCGAGATAGTAACCCACCTAGCCAAGTGCGGTTTGGCTAGTTAATGCTTTCAACTCTGTAACCCGTTTTTTTTTGTAAATTTAGAGTTAAGAAATTTTTGCTATCTTTTGTATTTGCTATAATTTTTGCTCATTTTTTTTCCTATAATATCTCGAGATACGCAATATCTTTCTTTATCTCTTTTCTTTTCTAAGGTTTCTTAATTTTCTCCTTAACCCCAAAAAATTGAGTGGCGCCCTGTTTTCTATCTTCTCTTATCTTTGGTAATTTATACCCATCCTTCTTTTTGTTTATTTCTATATCTTTTCTAATATCTCTTATCCTATCTTTACTTATTTCGTCCGTTGGACCCAATCCCGGTTCCAAAAGCTAGTTTCGAACCCACGACTCGCTCTCCACCAACCATCTGGCTGCCGTCCGCAGTGTCTCCATTGGTTATCTTTCTAGCACCATCCAAAAAAGATTTCCGAGGTTTACAACATAACTATGCACATCACGAACCTATTTTTTTAACACATAACAAACATTCAAAAATAGCGATGGTTCATGAAGAATAAAAATGAATTATTGCAGAGCGCAAATATAGTTAGATTTGTAATGTCACAAAGACTAAACCCGGTTTGCCACTTAAAAGAATACCAGATAATCGAGCTGTAATAGTAATCCAGAGATTAAAACACCAAGCAAATAAAACAAAAGGTAGGTCCAATAAAAGGTGGATAGAGGATACAGAGTTAGATTTTCAAACCATGAACATCAGGCAGTGGTGAAGCAAAGTATATTTAGAGGCCAAGAACTACAAATGGGTTGTAGTGACATTAGAAGAAGAACAAAAAGAAGTTGGCGAATAAAAATAAAATTATGGACAACCATTAGTTTACAATTTTTGATATTTTTATTTTAATTTTTGCCTTACTGTCCTTTAAACGAAGATTCAACTCCTTAATTCTGAAATACATGCTTGGGTTAAAGAAAAGTGTTTTTACATTATCGTCACAATCATCATTATTAGCTGATGTTAATAAGTTTTTTAAACAATTGTATTCTGGTTTAAGTTCACTCCCTAAAATATATTTATTATCTCATAAATTGCAATTTGCATCATCACCATTGATAACCGATATTACTGTCGAACTTTTGTTTATATACAAGCCTTCTGTCTTGTCGGTGTAAAGTCGTCTGAAGTCTATATTTATTGTGTTTTGTATTTAAACTAGTTATATAAAATTATATAAAAACTAATTATATAATATAAAAATATAGTAATGTGTATATTTTTTATTTTACTAAATTTCATTATAACTC